ACACAGCATATCCGTATGTCTTATGTTACTTCAGTCGTTTCACTGGTTACGAAATGGACGACCGGGTTCCATTTCTGGGCGGGCAGGAATTTCTCTTTGCACCACGACACCGGCCCTGGGACCTATCGGAGATATCCAGTGGATAGTAGGGCTCCTTTCATGTGATNTGCATCACGACACCGGCCCTGGGACCTATCGGAGATATCCAGTGGATAGTAGGGCTCCTTTCATTGCATCACGACACCGGCCCTGGGACCTATCGGAGATATCCAGTGGATAGTAGGGCTCCTTTCATGTGATGAAGCAGCCGGAGATTATAGCAGACCACCTGTAGCAATTTCACGCCAAGATTAAAAGTATGTGCAGTTTAAATTTCCATTTACGCCTTTGAGGTTCGATGCTTATTTACAAGGTCATGTTTATCTGTTATTATTGTTACATTTCTTCGGTATCAATTACATTTTGATTAGCGTAATGTTCATTTATNATTTTAGTTGTTCTTATTTTGTCTAATGTCGTGGATATTTTTATTGTACCTTGCTTACAAATTTTTATCAGTTTATCCTCTATATAATCTGAAATATGGTTTAAATTTTACCTTTTAAAAACTGAATTTATTCCAAATAATATATAAAATTCAGTTCGTACCTCACAGGAAACATATCTTTGTTAAAAAGTTTAACTGTTTTTAGGTAAATAATCGAGAGCCAAACCAAACACACAGACTCTATGAAGAGAATAGAGGGCTCTGGTATGGTAAAGCAAGTGGTAATTCGGATTTCTTTTACTGCTTTCATTTCCCCATCATAGTTTTGTGCTGATTTCCTGCGGTTTATTTTTTCTGCTTGGCCAAGCGGTAAGAATGAAATATAAGGAAAGCTTGATTTGAAATGTAGTATAATGTATTTAATGTTTATTAGCTTAGTCAGGAATATATTTGTATCTGCAATATACAAATATGAGTGTTTTACACATCGATACAAAATCACAAACCACTCTCTGCTTTCGAAACTGCAGTTCATTTATCCACTTCCCTTAGCGGCTTACATGACCACCCCTGGAGCAGCACTGCTGTTTGGGTGAAAGAACTGGGAGAGACAAGACGGCAGAGACATGTATTGAAGTGCATGCTAGCAAATAAAGTGCATTTCGACATTGTAACGCCTGTCCAGAATACCCAACACATTTGTTCAATAGTTCCAACAATGGAAGATCCTTCCTCAGCAGTATTTACTGCCCTGAAAAACCCAGTGGATACTACTAGATGCACCCCCTGTTTTAACACAGTGAGTTTCTGCATTATGTCCATAGAATTTCTGTGTTTCTCACAACAGACAATGACTTCTCCCCTAAAAAGTATTCATGGTTTATCCTTACAACAGAAACCTAATTTGTTTTCTGTGAGGTACGATCTACTTTACGTATTAGGTAGATTAGATCAAGTTTTTAAAGGCTTAACTTAGACGTTCTTGCCTGCTGCTAGCGTGTAGAACGGTTGATATGAGATGACCGCGAGATTATCAGATATACCAGACCCGTTTCTGGGCAATACTTCGGTAAAGAAGTTCCCGTCGCTAGGCAGCAGATTCTTAACAATGCGACAGTTGAACTTTAACAATGGAAACAGGATGTTACTATGTGGTCCGTGTCTTTATGTTATAAGCAAGGGACGTCAGTTGAGATTTGGTTCAGTTAGAAGAGAGCCGCCATTCAGAGAGGACTTGAGAACGGAAACATTGCTGGAACCGATACCAGGAAACGACTAGTGAAGATTGTAACAGAATGTGTGCTCTAGTGATCTGTAAAATGTGGAGATTGTGCGATGGCGCTGTAATTGAATGTAGTCATGAGTCGTGTGTTAAAGTGGTCAAAAACACCCCAATCTCCGATCCAAACACCGTCTATAGCCACTTCATACACGTGACAGTAATTTTCACTGAGATCGTCCTGATCCTGATTGCTACTTGTTAGATCTATGTTTGTAATTATTGCTTGAAATTTGTCATTCATATGTGGATCCCTGTACCAGTAGTATTTGTCGAATTGTTCTACTTGACTGCAAGGTTTCTATCAGCCTTCTTGTGTTATCTCTTTCAGGGCTGTCTCTGAAATTTCTTTCAGTAACGGCAGAGAAATGCTGGGAGCATTGTGGGCTGCGGAGTGGACGTTCCAGTGTATTATACAATTCTCTAATATTTTGAATAGAGTTGTAGGGACGAGACACAGCAATGCAAAGCCTCTAAGTGCATAACAGGGCCTATTTATTGATAAACTGGTAGTCTGTCCCGCAGTAAAGAAATTCTCCGATTTTAATCGAATTAGAAGGTTCATTACCGTGCTCACAAGAGTCCATCACTGGTTTCTGTTTTGAACCAGATGAATCAATCCCACACCCCAAATTCTTAAGTTTGATTTTAATAATGTCTTCACATTTACGCATAAATCTCTTCCCGCTGAAGGAAAGTCCTAAATAAGACGGTTGTGCTTTGCCAAATATGCGAATTAGATTATACCCATGAAAAGTCTGGCTATATAGCACTTGAGTAAATGCATGTTTTGAATGTAATTTAGCCGACCGCCGTCCTAAAGATGCCACGACTATCACTCGAGATGAGAACTTTTTCTCATGAATACTGGTGCTCCGGATTCCTGGATTGGAATATACTTTGGTTTTATGAATTAAGGGGTCCCCAGAACGAGCACCGTGTATTACAGCCTTAAGTTAAAATTGCGTACAGTGATTGTCAATCTTTACATTAGTCCTCCCTGAAGCTCGCTTCTCACTGATCACTCCCGTCATCATTACTTCTATTCACACTACTCTCTATCTCCTCCTGTAAATCCCTTATGTGCCCTCCCGTGTCTCGACTCTGTATTTTCACTCACCTTCACGTAGCTCCTAGCCACAAGCCTCTTAAGTGGTCGTTAATGGAAAACAAGAGAGCCAAGGGTCAAGCTACGAGTCAGTCCCGCATTTATCTTAAACCTTTTCAGGTCTACAAGGTACACGGGTAGGCAGTCCAAGGCCTCTTCTGGAAAGTCTCGTACAATGTCAAATCATGGATTTATCTCTCAAAATACCTTCCTATCTCGACGGAAGAGAACAGTAGGAGCAAACTAGCGACGGTAATAACAATAGTGGCAACATAAACCTAAGGAGACTATGTTGAATTCCAACTACACGGTCCCGAGATTGGACCTCATCGTAGGTGCGTCTCTCAGGGTGTGAAAACAATGAATAAACTTATCATAACCATAATTAAATAATTTTAGCGAGGGAAGTATGGTTACAGTGAATTCTTGATATTGACACTGTAAAGGCAAAATATATAATTTTATTCCGTGAGCGCTTCTCCGTTATCGTCTGGGACCCGACGTCTCCCTTCCATTGTTTCCATGCTACGCACACGGGGATATGTGGGTTTAAATACACTTAGGGCAGTAGGTCAGAAACACCTGGAAAGCTTCGAAATGTGGTGTTGGAGAAGGATGGAGAAGATCAGTTGGACCGATTATGTGAGAAATGAAGAAGTGTTATTTAGAGTCAGTGAGCAGAGGAATATCCTAGACGAAATAAGAAAACGGAAGGCTAATTGGATTGGTCATATCTTACGCAGTAACTGCCTTCTAAAAGAAGTTATTGAAGGAAAGATAGAGGGGTGGATAGAAGTGACCAGAAGACGAAGAGGAAGAAGTAAGAAAATGTTGGATGATCTTGGGGACAGAAGAGGATACTCTCATTTGAAGGAGAAAGCTCTAGATCGCATTAAGTGGAGGAACTGTTTTGGAAGAGACTGTGGACCTGTCGTCTTGACAGATTACAGATGAATGAATGAATGAATGAACTTTTAAATTCCTGTGTATCAGTAGTTTAGTCAGAAGAGTGAATAACTACGAGCTGGCCAATCGGGTTTCGGTTCTTTTTATGTTCACTTCCATGTCCTTAGTGGCTCTCAGGCCTACGCAGCCTCCGTTTAAAGGGCAGGAATATGTAACGACCGGAGCGTGAAGGTGACCACTCACAACTGTCTTGTACCAAAATGAAAACTATTGGGGCTTTGCCTCCCCCCCTCTTATTTGAATTTTTATTACGTGCTGCTTAGGCATTGGAAACGTTATCTTTGCATTTTGTGTGTGAGATAGCCACTGAGAAATAAATTCTCCTACCAACTTTTCACAGTTAATGTTATAGTGTACTTAAGAATTTTCAAAATTAAGCTTTTTACATTCAATGGCATTGTGTAAATGAAGCTTATATTTTATAATATTCTTGGCATAGAAAGCTTGACTAGCAAAACCCAAGAAGGAATTCCTTTCATTAGAATTCTAAGGAGCCCTGTGGAAATGTCATAATATTATATTTCAGCTTCCTGTTGCATCAGTCCCTCACTCACTCACTTACTTCCGTCTATAATGCAAACACAACGTTTTATTTTAAAACGTAATTTACAATCATATTTAAAATTCATAGAATGTCATTAAAATCACATTTTCTATTTTATTTGTTACAACATTTTTCAGCTTCAGAAGGCCATCATCAGGCAACGATAATCGGTCGAAATAACCACACTGTATGGGGTCACACGTCAATATATTTACATGCTATTATTACATTTCGTCGTATTCGAAAATGTACTGCCGCATTTGCCTCACGCTAAATTCGTGTTGCGTCGGTCCCGCTGTGTCCCTTTGTGCGTAGTGCCTTGTGAGGCCGAAATACGTTGCAACACATAAAATAGAAAATGTGGTTTTAATGACATTTTATGAATTTTAAATATGACATTTAAAAAAATATATTTGCATTTTAGGCGGAAGTAAGTGAACGAATGTGGAAATTTTGTTTCGATTTGTTTAATTTTTGTGTTGCCTTTAAGCAACATATACAAAAAAAAATATTATGAACCGAGAAAAATAATTAAATCAATATAAACAAAAACACAAAGAACTTTAATTTACAAAAATATTACATGATTTACATAGCGATAATATATATGTAACTTGCAAGTCGGGTTCAGAGGTTCTGTGGCAGCATGCAGTTGGAACGCGGGCCTCCTGAATCGTTTGCTGTCGACTGAAATGAAGAAAAGCTAGCTGTTAGTATAGACGGATATAAGGGTCGAGCAATTCACTTTCTAGCTTCAGTCTTCAACAAATAAGTTGTCATCCATTCATATTTCGAACTATAGATGTATTTATTTATTCTAGAAATTGTAATTTTCAAGTTGCTTCTGAAGGAATGAGAAACATATGTTTTCCAAGAGGATGATAAACACCCGTCTTGTAACGGGAATGTATTTCCGAAGATACTTCCAGGCATTTGAATAGGAATACTTTTGCTTAATATTAGAAAAGCGAAATTTATCTCACGACTTCAAATTTTCTACACACCACTGAGCATCTTTTGTAGTCCGTAACACAAATCACAATATTATGTAAGGAAATAATTATCAGTTTTGGTGTTAAGTGCAGGATCCCTTATCTGCATTATCAAACAGAAGTTTCCACTCCAAAGAACGCTCACTTCAAGAAGTATATAGAAACACATTTGATATTACAATTTGAGTTAACATATGTTTTGTTCTAGAAATTATGTAAATTTCGTTTCCTTCACTATTGGCATACATCCGTGTTTATGAATCAACCGTTCCGGAATAACTTCTGTCATTCCACTTCTTGACCTAAACAGTTGGAAATTTGTCATTAAATAAACAAGGAATCAACAATCCAGTCATTTACATTACCCACTCAGCTTTATCACGGATGTATGAAATTTATTCAGTTTGCGAATATTTTCTACTCGTTCACTGAAGTGTGACTTTACGTTAACACTTAACATTTTCATTTTTATATTTCAGTGTTTAAAAATTTGACTCTGTTTTACTTTCGCCTGAAAGTATTGCATTGATCCTGTATTAAGTTCGGAAAAGCGTTGCGGTTCTTTACTGAAATGTGTTGTTACAGTCACCGTGTTATATGACTTCGGAGAGTGTATAAATGTGTCAGTATGCATACCAGCCATCTTGCAGTGTCACTTAGCCGTGATGGAAGCCGATGTGTTCGTCAAAACCAGCCAACGCGTAGCCCCCGTCCAAATCCAAACCGTCAAGGATATCATGTCCCTTGAGGAGAAGAGGCACGTGATTTTGGACCACAACAGGTTGCGGCACCGGGACTGCAACAGGCTTAGGCACTGGGACAGCAACGGGCTTAGGGACATGCACAGGGACAGACACTGGGTACGGAACCTTAACAGGGACATTCACTGGGTATGGGACCGGTCTCTCAACAGTGTAAGGTACTGGCTTCTCCACAGGGACAGGATAAGGCTTAGGGACGTGCACGGGATAGGGCTTGTCTACAGGGACCGCAATCGGCACCTTCACAGGGACAGGCACATGTTTCTCGACAGTGACAGGGTATGGCTGGGGCACAGGTACAGGGACTTCCTTAGTGATGGTAATTGCCTTGACGTATCCTTCGTGGGCCAGGCCGAGCCCGCCGAAACTGTGATCCAGCTCACCATATCCGTACCCCAGACCGAACAGCCCCCTCTTGTCCTGCTTCTTCTCTCCTTTCGCTGCCGTCTGCTCGACAACGCCACCCGTTGCCGTAGCAACAGCTGCCAACAGAACTGTGCACAGCTATGGGGACAGATGAAGTTATGTTTATAGACAGAACTGTTGGGATTTTTTGGTAGAAAGTCGTTTATTCCTAAAGTGCATTTATAACCGGTTTAAACAGCAGGATGCCTTCCTGGAGAAGAGAGTTTTCATTGAGCCAACACGCAGCAGAGTGATATAATATATTATATAAGGGGAAATGTACTAATAGTGCTATATCTTACATATGGTGACTTAATCTGTCTACTTCTACATATATGTAATTATTATAGAATAAACCAGTATGATATACCCAAACACACAATTTTTCTCAATACAATTAATTCTCTGAACTGTTTAAGTTAAATGACAAAAGCTACATGATAATTCAATATAAAATGAAACATAATTTAATTTAATATAATTTTGACTCATCGTCTATCCAATACTGCTACAAAGGCGATCTCTTCTATTTTAATATAGATCACCTTCTAAGCAGAACTGAACAGATGCTCGAGAGAAACTAAATTCAATTATATTGTAGATGACATATAATTATTCTTAGGATCTGTAGGTTTTTGTTAATTTAATATTTGTTCTCTTTACTTTCGGTCTGATTCCAGTCCGCGTCCTTTACAGGCAGAAAACTAGGGGGAAACTAGGTGACATAAACTTAATCTGAAACTCTTAATTTATATGCAATATCTGTGTTGATTGAGTACCAACTATATCATATTCAAGCTCTACTGATTCACGAATTCGGAAGTTATTACAAATTAAAGGAACTTTTCAAAACATATATTTTTCCCCACATATTTCAACATTTCTGAATTAAATTTTGGTTTTATACTTTTTACACTTTTATGACTAAAACTGATCAATGCATTTTAATAAAGTATTTCATTTTATAAAATATACAAGGAAGTTGCTTATGGTCCCTTCGAAATTATTCCTTAAAAGTTAGTGTTAATCTGAAAGAAATATCCCTGCCACATTTGTCAAATACACGTTAACAACCAGAAAAAAATGGAAAAATATTGCACAATTATTATTAGACTAGATCTGATTTTACGTAGTACAGAAAGTGGTGTGGAGAAAACACCAATGTAAATACTAAGGATAAGTATAAATTATTGTTATTATGTCTTCATTTGATTTATTTAGTGTAGTAACAGTCTCACATGGCATGCACTGTCTTCGCTCGCTCGGAAGCCGAGATCGTGGGTTCGAATCCCACTCAGGGCATGGATGTTTGTGTGCGTTTTTCTGTGTTTGTGTACAGGTAGAGGCCTTGCGACGAGCTGATCACCCGCTCAAGGAGTCCTACCGAATGTGTAAAATCTAGAAAAACCGAAGTGAACGGAGAAGTTCGTGGAGGTAGGCCTAGACCCATTGGGGCTGTAGTGCCAAGGAAGTCAACTCAGACTTGAAGTAAATTGACAAAAGGAGTAGAATGTAGCAAAATTGCAAGTATTATATAAGGTTAATCTTAATTTATTTTAATTTACCGCTTATTTATTGCTGAAAGGTAGCTGTTCTCCAGTTCTAGCCTTGTAGAATTAGATTTAATTTTGAAACTGAGAATTTTCAGATATTTTTACTGTCACATTAATGGATAAATGAAACTTCAAGATGATTATATCCACACAGAACACAACACAGAGAAAACTGCATTTACACGTACGAAGTATAATACCCTATGCGGGATTAGAAACCCTGATCTCTTCATACAAATTCTTACTTCGTGTGCTTGGCTGATATATAGTTCTGATTGCCAGATATTCAAACGTTTCCAAATTAATTGTAATTACCAGGACCCGGATTTTGATGACCTGAAAATATTTAAAAAATGACCTATAAAATGACCGAAAAAATCCAGAAAAATGACCTAAAATATGACCCCAAAATGTAATATACATGGTCCGGATTTTGATGACCTGAAAATATTTAAAAAATTACCAAAAAAATCCAGAAAAATTAACTAAAGGAGAAAAGAAAGAACACTTCGCTTCCATATTATTCACATTTCAGAAAACATATGAAGAAAAATTCCCTAAAATGGTAAAAAATGACAAGAAATACCCTTAAAAGTCCAAACATTTACCAAATAATTACCCCTAAAATGAAAAAATGACCTTAAACCTAAAAGTGTTAAAAATGAAAAAAGTTACCTATAAAATTTACATTTCTGTAACCAGCAGCTCATACCCGAGATTTATATATTTAAGAACATCGCATAGGAAACAAGAAAAAGAAAAAAGATGACATGTCATCAAAATCCGGGCCCTGGTAATTACAATTTATACAACGAAGTGAGCGACTACATATAGTCAAGAGACAAAAGACTAAAGGATCCCGCACAGAACTCACCGTGAACTTCATTGCTGCTGATCTGTCCTAGCTTCAAGTGAAATCTCTTCGTGTTCAGAGCCTAACCCCAGCTATTTATACGTCATGAATGTGTCCATCCCCACGGATACACTTTCACATACAATACACTGAGGTTCCTTACCCCCTCCAGTGACCGCTGGTCCTCCTTCAGACGTTACGATGTCAAGAGTTACGTTAGCGTAATAATATCTTTATTGCAAGAGACCTCGAGGCCTTGATTAGGCGCAGGTTGTGGGAAATTTGAAATAGGCCTGAGATACTACTTCGCTGACAAATTAACTTACTAACAGACTGGCTGAAAAATGTTTATAAATAAGAACTGACTAATCCGCTTGTTAACTTATCAGCTACCTTACTAATTAACTTTCTTAATAATCCACTCAGTGACGGATATACTGACGACTAACCCACTGACTGATCAACTGACTTATTTACCCAGTGACTGACAAGGTATCTCATTAATAAATTATCTAAATAGCTCACTCACTAACTTACTTACATGCAGACTAAGCTACACATATATTAATTCACTCACTAACTGGCAAATTAACTTACTAATCACTCACTGTATTTCTTGACTAACCCACTTTCTCGCTGAATCATTCAGTAGTTGATAGACTAAAGCACTAAACAACTGACTGATTCACTCAATAACTAACTGACACACTTCTTACTAGCCTACATACTGACTGACTGATTCACTAAGTAACTTACGTCTAACATACTAAGCATCTAACTGAATAAGTCACTCGCTATGTGACATATTGACAGTCTAAACCACTCACAAACTAACAAATCAATTTATTATTTAACTCACTGAAAACCTCGCTTGGTAACTGTCGTACTGGCAGCCTACTTCACTCACTGAAATAAAATGTGATTTATCAATAAACTGATAAATTATCTCATCAGCTAAATGAACTGTTGACTGACTGACTGACCCCTTCCTTGACTGGTTCATTCACTCGCTTATTGGCTGATTTACATACTAAGCAAGTGAGTAAATAACTCCGAAACTTGCACACTGGTGGCCTAACCCACTAATTTATTCACTGGTTCACTCCCTGACCCAGTGACTCTGCGATTGATCGACTAACAGTTCAACGTCTTCCTTGAGCAATCATTCACTGTTCAGCAATGGCCTCGTATGACAAGCAGAACCCCATAACGGCCATAAAAATTATTCGGCAGAGCTTACCTTGAGCTGGTTCACATCTATTCTCCTCAGACTCCAGAGTGAGATATTTATTACAATTTCTAACTTAAACTTATGCTTGAACCTCGCGTCGCCTTTAGGTTACATAGAGTCAGCCGAGATTTAAATACGATATCAATCGTTAGTATGCAGCAATACCGCTACACTAACCTGCTTTGTGGCATAATCTGCAAAGTGGAACATAAGATACGAGTATATAAACCCACTCGAGGCATGGATGTCTGTGTGTAGGTAGCGGCCTTCCGACGGGCTGGTTCCCCGTTCAAGGAGTCCTACCGACTGTGTATAGGCTTAAGAAACTCAAAACTGGCCAAGACCCAAGAGAGGGCTGTAGAGCCATATATAGATAGATGGGTGTGTGGGTAGGTGGATAGATAGATAGATAGAGCATGGTAATTTATTTTAATTAGATGAACAACTGATTACTTCAAGAATGGCCCTGAATGCTATTGTCTGTAAGCGTAAAGCATCAAGTGTTCGAAATATTTTCCGCAGGTGCTGAAGGGCTTACTCGTTGGAAGGACAACAGGGGCACTGAATCCATTTAGTACGATCAGAGAGATCGAGTTATGTTCCCGGCGTAGATACGATTGCTTTCTTCTTCGCCAAGTCCAGTCTTGGTTGCCGTCCACCCATCCTTCCGAACTCGAGTTCTTCCCACGTCGGTTAAGCGGCCGGAGCTAGAGACAACCACCCGTTTGCAGTTCGTATTTTGTGCAAGGACGTGTCTGTAATTGCTTCTGAACGAAACTCGCTGTCGGCTGAATAGGACTCCCGCTATGATTGGTGAGGTGCAGGGCTCGAACCTCAGGCCAGGGGTTGGCTATCTTACGTTGTTGTTTCGGTAGTGGATGAAAAAGTGGCACTATCTATAGATAGTGCCACTTTTTCATGAATTTTTCATGAAAATTTCGATGATAGCAAGAGAAAATGAAGTGCAATGATAGCTATCATTGCACTTCATTTTCTCTTGCTATCATCGAAATTTTCATGAAAAATTCATGAAAAAGTGGCACTATCTATAGATNAATTAGAATGAGGAAACCAAGAAGAATTTGAGGGGCAGTTTATGTAGCACGGATAGAGAGAAGAGGAGAACATCTAGAGGATTATGCTAGAAAAGCCGGAAGACTGGAAACCACTAGAGAGAACTAGCCCTAAGTGAGATGATAATATTAAGATTGACTTTAACGAAATAGGATGGGGTTGTGGGGATTAGATTTATCTGGCTCAGGATAGGGACAATTGGAGGGCTCTTGTAAACACGGTAATAACATTTCAGGTTCGATAAAATGCTGGGAAGTTGTTGAGTAGCTGCACAACTGGCGGCTTCTCAAGAGGGGCTCAGCTTCTTATAGTTAGTCAGTTATTTAGTCATCTAAATTGCCGGGTATGTGGCTACTTCGAGCTTCAGCCACCCTTTTCCAATATACGTTTTCATGGCTTGATGCGAACCAAATAGCCTTTAATCTCATTTTATTTATAATGAAAAAAAACATCTTTATTATTATTTTATTAAATAGTTTCCCGACTAAGCAAGTATCGGCAACTAACAATGTACATGAATACCGCACTAACTGACTCACTAACTGACTCACTAACTGTCTCACTAACTGCTTTCTTAACTCCCTAAACTTGTAACAACTTGAGACTGTTTGGGACATGTTTTGTCTGCAGAAAATAATTAAGAAATGCCTTGAAGAATGCCGTCTCATGGGATGTTGCACCGTGTAGATGTGGTGTTAACCGACGTTTCGGAGGAACGTATCGCCTCCATCTTCAGGGTAGAAGGAAAAATAAGAAAATCTGCAAACGAAGAGACAGTGAGAACCGGTGCAAGCAGACTGGATTGATGTTGGAAATAAACTCAGCTATGTGAGAGCTGGGATGGGGGAGGGGGGTGACAAGTCTACATGGGAAATCAGTGGAGAGGGAGGGGTCTGGGTCTGGGACAGGAGCAGGGTTTTGTATAAATCTTACAAGAAATGCATTGTTTCATGGTATTTAGACGTTTATCAGGTTTTTCTGTTTTACAGGAAGAAACTTTGGAGCAATAAAAAGACCTACGCTGCAGGCAGTCCATTAGCTAAAGGCCACAGTTCTCAGAAATACTGATGACATTTATTTTGGCGCTGGAAAATTTCTGTAATGAGGAAAAGCGGTCCATATAAAGTAAGTCCAGCAATTGCCTAATTCTGGAATAGATGATATCGACTCTCTAAGCCTGTACTATGCGTGAATCACAGCCTTTATTTGATGGCCAGTGATACGTGTATAGTTGGCTCTCTTGGCCAAATCTGTGTTTCTAGTGTCGTAACATTTCTGAACCTTATTTTCGTTTAAAGAAGCCAACACAAATCTTTTGCTGAAGTTTAAAGTACTGAAACACTAATGAAATAATCCTTGGTGTAGGTAGTTTGAGCAGCATTAGGTACTGACCGGTAAAGGCAGTATAATCACAACTAACCAAGTAAGAGTAGCAGGTGAGTAACTCTAACTAATTAGACGTACTCGTAAATTCCTAACTAAATATTTAAAAATTTGACTGAATATTTATTTAAAAACCAATTGAATGTGTTCTAAGTATATAACTAAAACACGATTTAATTAATTAAATAACTCTCTAAAAATGTTTAACTGAAGAATTAATTTATTTACTAAATAAAAATATTAAAAACTTAATATTTATCTGAAAGCTAAAAAATCACTAAATGATAATCATTTAACTATCTAGATAATTTGTTAACTAAATTATTAGTCAAATAATTTTATAATATTCAAACTGAATAATTAATTAGCTAAATGATCAATTAACCAATTAATTATCTAAATTAACTAGCTCCGTGGTACATGCTCGTCCTTAAGGAGTTCAGACATGATCAGTTAGTCCAAATATTTACTACTGTTTTGGATCTCTCATGTTCGTACCCGTATTAAAACATCCATTAAACCATATTTTATAACGTATGAATATAGTGTACATATCTGCTCTCTGTTTTTTCTAAGAGATTTTACTAGGAACTTTCAGCATCCTATTGCTTTCAATATTTGAGCTCGTAATATGCTTCTGTCTTATCTTCGTAATTTCGTTTATTGTTCAGATTGCTACGTTGTATTTTCCGCAGTCTTCTTCCACCAACCTTGAACAATACACCAAACAAAACACAAGAGAGAACACTAACAGAAATGCATTGAAAAGTACGTACGACCACGAAAGAAATTTCTTCAAATTCTAAGTGATAAAAAAACTTTGATTCTAACCAATAACTTCAGCTTTTAATCACTAATATTAATATAAATATTAATTAATGTTTCACTCAAGAATAGAACTAAGCAGTGCCCACAAAATGTGTACTGATGATAGTGTCGTGTGGCTAAATCATGTCGTACTAACAGCCGAGACACTTGAATGTAATGTGGAACCATACAGTTGCGTGAACCTATAATGAATGCTGAAAAAAACACTGAAATGTAACAACAAACTAACCAATTTTCGTATTATAGGCCTGCTCGAGGCCACGCTTAGGTCTCCTAAGTGATTTATTCCCTGAAATTCTGAAATAAAATTTTTGTCGGAATATAATTTTTCTTCTTTCCTTTATGATTTTTGTTACTAGATAATTGTGTAAATCGCTTCATTTCTCAAACGTAGCAAACTGCAGCCCTTGAGAAACATGAATGATATATGGTGGTGTTAATGTGAATGTGTTTTCAATATCACTCGCCAGCGAAGGGAAAGGCATGTTATCTGCCCCACATTGTGACATTTGCCAGGCGATCAAGACCTGCTTTCAATCCTACGATCGATTGCTTTCAAAGACGTTCGCTAAACAGCAAGAAATATGACGTAACCAAAACGCGAAACCACTTTACTGCAACGCTTTAGAGACTTTTGCAGTTCTTCTTTTGTTAAGTATATTTTCCTGTATTCCTATTTGTAAACTAGAATCTGCTTACTACAAATATTATGTTTCTTGACATTAAGAATGTTCCTATTTTTATCCAAAACACCGTCCTGTTCATATTCAGAACACAACGTTTAGGAGACTGCATTCTGTCTCTGTCCTCGGGCAAAACCTACTCAGTTGGGCCCAACCGATAGAGGTAGTCCCTATCGCTGGACCCATGTACCATCGTCACACACTTTTAGATCTCAGAATCTACTTAATTCTTACTTTGTAAATATTTTAACTACCGAAACATCAGTACAGTTCGGTTCACATGGAGTTCGGCGTGTCGCTGGGTGTTCTCTAACTTGAAAGGTACTCTCGGGTTTCGTAACGAGAATGTGGGAGTCTGAATGTACGTATAGTCTTTGTCTTCTCTTTATTATGAACACCACGTGAATAAAGGTAATTTAAATTAACAAAGGAATGTAGTAACCCGCTTTTCTTATTGCAACGAGAAAGAGGAACTAGTTCCAATTTTTTTTATATACAATTTCTGGTGACGCAGTGCCAAAGTATCCGCGTGAATATTTTGCAATTACATCGGCTAATGATGATTTCTAGACGTAGTTACGCTTCGACCTTTGTGATTTAAAGGGAGTGTATACTTGCCTCAGCCCAAAACTTAGGCTTGTATGCAATGTGTGATTAAGTTAGAATTCCAAGCAGTAACAGAAGCTTCTGCGAAGCTTTGTGGCACTTACTTCCCTTCGGACATTTGGAGTTTTAAAGACACTATCTAGAAACTTAAGTCTGAGATAATAATTATCTATTTTAATGACATACTTCTGTGTAAATAAATTGTAGTTAAAGCTATGATACATAATCCTAAAGTGTCGCAATTTAATCATACTTGTAACTTTGAACATACTAAAGAAATTAGTAGGTAGACCTGTTCCAGAAGGTTTCCCTCCCACATTTGTTGTGAGGAGAAGTGTGAGACAAAGGTGGATCTGCCATCTCTAAAGAAGGTTTCACATAAACATCTGTAATGGTAGAATCTATGGAGTTCTCACGATGGTGTATATCACTCAGAATTTTGGGGTTCTTTGATTTTGTCCATCGTTTACTTACTTACTTACTTACTTACTCATGGAGCTGAGCCCTTCTTGAGGAGCCGCCAATTCTGTAGCTAACTCAAGAATTTCCAAGCATTTTATGGAACCCGAAGGTTCATCACCGTATTCACCCGAGCCCTCCACTGGTCCCTATCCTGAGCCAGATCTATTCAATACATACCATCCCATCCTATCTCTCTAAGATTCATTCTAATATTGTCCACCCACCTACGCCTTGGTCTTTCCTGTGGTCTCTTTCCTTCTGGCTTTCTCACCAATATCCTATACGCATTCCTCGTCTCCTACATTCGTGCTACATTACCTGCCCACCTCATCCTCCTTGACTTGATCATTCTAATTATAATTGGAGAAGAGTACAAGTTATGAAGCTCCTCATTATGCAGTTTTCTCCAACCTCCTGTGATTTCATCTCGTTTGGTATTATAGAAAACAGTGATTGATGTTATCTTTTTCTAGGGGACCCAACGGAATAGGTGTCAGTCACCCCTCACCCGAGGACTCAAACAGATCCAATTTCCAAATCTTTGTGTTGTGTGGTGTTTTTTTTCTAGAATACCAGACAATGGACAAAGACCAAAACCCAGTAACATATGTAATGGTCCAGTTGTTTTCGACATCAAACAGAAATCTAAATACATAATTAAGATCATTATATCCTTGTTTTTCAGTCTATAAAGAATGAGAAAACGATAATAGCTTCACATTATCCGAAGTTCTGTTAACCACACACAATACAAGGACTCGCTGTTCCAATTGTGTGGCTCTCACACCGGATGATCTTACCGACGCCATGTTTGTATCATTAACAATGAAGAATCAGAGTATCAAATGAGCCTTTAAATACTTGCAGCGATGTCTATGGGAAGCACTATGTTCTGCGAGTGGTATATATATAGTCTAATAGAGGTTTACTTACGTTTTAGAGGAACGTAATGCCTCCATCTTCAGGGTAGAAGAGGAAGTCAAGAAAGTAAGCAAACAAACTTTTTGCTTGTTTGCATTATTAATTCAGTATCAAGTTCTGGTGACCTCTAATGTCCTGATGTTCAAACTATGTGTCCGCCAATTCCTGAAGACGGTCAGACACGTGGACGCTGATATGATAATGCCGCACCCTTAAGTTCACTTATAAATGCAAGGCACTCGCTGATGATCCAAAAGAAATCTGTATTCGTTATTTTGTCTATTTACGAAATCACATTCATGTGGCATTTTCCCCGTATTTTATTCATGTGTTCTCACAAGGATACAGGAGGAAGGCATGATAAAAGTAGTGGAAATTAATGAAGAGTGATTAAATATATGAGCAGGAAAGCGACATATTCAAATTACATTAAAGAATTAGACGAGAAATAGCAGGTTAATTTCGGGGAATACGTGCTACAATTCACTTCAGAATATTTAAAATTTCTAGACCTTATCAAGAGACCCAATGATCAGATTGCACCGTACCAAGCTGCGATCGCATCTGTTGCTATTTTATGGGTTTGGAACCTGGCCTCTCACCCTAAGGGAAGATGATAGATTCAAGTTACTTGAGAAGAGAGGAATATACAAGAAGGAACAAACTGCATAATGAAGACCTTCAGAAATGTTTTCTTTAATTGATTTAGGTATTTATATGTCAATTCTTTACTTCTGAATAAGTAGATGAGAATAAAAGATGTAGCATAGAATGACACGATGATTTGGAAAGGTCGTGGAAGGAAGAAGTGGTTATTTAATTTGAGGTACTGTCCAGAAAGTTGCCTGGAGTAACTGAGATGAACAAAGAGCAGACTCAGGATAATAAGTCCCAGGAAGAAATTCGAACTTGGCACCTCACGGACACAAAGAGGGAGTGCTAACTGCTGGATCGAGAGGTTCACCCTTAATTGATTCAATTCGTGAAAAAGCAGGTTGAACAAATCAAGAAGGCAAGATGGGCTGTGAACGCATGGAAGAAATGAGAAATATTTCAAAAATTTTAGACGGTAAACCTGAAATGTTTAATTGACGCAAGTAAGGAGGTTGGTCTAGAAGTAAACACAGAGAAACTAACTATATTTTGTTGTCTAGTCACCAAAATTCAGGGCAAAATCAATACATAAAGATAGGAAACAGATGTTTTGAAAATGTGGCACAGTTAAGATATTTGGGAACAAAG